GGTTTAAGTTTAGGGTTTATGGTTTAGGATTTAAGTTTCGGGTTTGAGAAGGGGACGCTGTGGGAACCCATGGGTTAAAAGTTTCCACGGAGTCCACTTCAGGGTTTAGGGTTTAGGGTTTAGGGTTTAGGGTTTAGGGTTTAGGGTTTAGGGTTTAGGGTATTGATCTTCACTATTAAAGCACCCGAGCCAAGAACCAAGATTGCTCCCAGGACTTTTCTGGAGCAATCTTGGTTCTTGGTTCCCCGGCCACGGAAATATAGAACTTCAATATTAAATATTGAACTTTCAGTATTTCCAGGGCCTTGGAAATACCATTAAATCTTCCAGTACACTCTAATCCTCCCAAGCCTACAAACCAATTTCAAGTGGCCGTGGATGAATCCAGAAGCCGCCGTTGTGGGGGTGTGGTTGTGGTGGCCGTGGATGGCTCCCAAACCCCGAAACAGTACCTTAAACTATGATGAACAGTTCACTTTAGTCTCAGCTCGAAACCCTTTGTCAGTATTAAATGAATCTAACCTTTAGTACCCTAAACCCTAAACCTTAAACCCTTTGTCAGTATTAAATGTATCTAACCTTCAGTGTCTGGCAGGTCGCTGGGCTACAATGTATGTTTTGCAAGACTTAAGCCGGCTAGTGCTTGCAATTGTTGCTCTTGTCCCTTTTAAAGTTATGATATGGGGGTTTCCGAAAATAGGGGGCCCTACTATAGCACCCTAAATAGTAGGATCCTGATTATAAGGACCCCAGAATAAGGCACCCCTTATTTTCGGAAACTCCCATATCACTACTTTCTCAATCAGTTCACTTGTGTTGTTCTTCCCAGTAATGAAAAGCATCTCTCTCACGCTCTCTCTCTCTCTCTTTGTTTATGGCTCTACCTGTTCCTTCTCATGCGTTTGGTAAACTACCTAGCCGGAATCTGTTAAGGTTTTCGTATGCCATGTTGCCCGTTAACAACACAGTATTGCCATCTTCATCACTGGCATGAGCGCACATTGAACTGTTACTAGCATTTGTTTCGTCGTTCCGTCTCTTATGGCACTGAACTACTTGAAAGTCTCCGTAATGAAACATCACTGGAGCTTATAGGTCAAACGTATCATCATGCATACTGGCAAATGTGATTCAACACGTTCGTGGATAACAAACTCTTCCATTCGTAGTGCTGGAACCTTCACATACGTATCCGTCATTGGTTCCGGTAACTAATCACTAATCTGATAGCATCTGCTTTTCCATGTAGTTAGAACTCTAATGAAATTAGATTCAGGGGCATTTGT